TCGTAAATCATTTTTTCTGGATTGGAAAAAAATTTATTGAACACATTCTTCGGTCAGAGGAGCAAAGAATGGCCAGGCCCAGCCAAAAAATACCATTTTTTCTCTCTTTTTCCAAACAAACAACGATTACAATGATGATGATTAGCATCATTGTGTTTTTACGATTGGTTTTTTACTTCTGGAGGCTCTCTCTCTCAATCATTACATGAAGAGATTACATAATGGTTGGTGGCTACCGAATTTTTTTTTATTATATGGATCTTATACACCAGCAAAATGAAAATTGGTTGGCACGCGAAAAATCGTTTAATGAAAAAAAAATTGTTGTTGTTGTTTGGCCATGGTTAACCAAATAAAGAATCTCAATTTTTCTGCTTTATCAAAAAAGTTCATAACCTAAACGCACACTCTTACGCCAAAACTTATAAATCATTGATCCGTTAATAAATCCAATGAAACAAAGCAAAAAAATTCTTTGATTCTTTCAATTGAAAACAAAGAATATTCTTCAATTTACAAGAATCGCCCAACACATATTCCTACTTATTTATTAATAACAATAATAATCATGCAATGCGACAAACGCAACAAACAATTCTGCTGATAGGGATAAGCTAAGGTTACGTGCATTTCTTTCTTTTTTATTCATTCATTCATTTCAATCAATCAACCAAACATTGTTTTGTCTTTGTCTCTGTGTAATGTGTAAAATGCAATTCGATATTATCATTATAACCTCACCAACCAAATGTTGTCAATCAAAAAATTGAATGAAAAATGAAAACCAGGTCGATAACAAAATGAATAGCAATACTATTAGCGATAAGTAGATTAAATGAAATGAAATGAATGAAAAAGAAATTTTTCGTAAATTACAATTAGTTAGTTAGGTAGCTAGGAAAATTGTAAATGTCAAATTGATTGCTGATTGTTTGTGCGTGTCAGAATTATTCACATTTTGTTGGCTGGTTGGTATGACTCACATTGAATGAATGAATATTTTACACCATCATTCTCTCTCTTAGTTTCCATCCAATAATCACCGTTTTCAACCCGAGAAAAAATAGAGCCCGTTTCCAAACTAACTAACCAACCACTGAATCACTACTCACACATTTCACTTGAACAACGAAAAATTTATGCTTTTTTCGTTTTTTTCTGTCTGAAAAAAAATACAATCAAATCTCGTTGGCACGGGTAAATTACGACACGACATTGAACAAATGAAAAAAACAAACCAGAAACGTAACTGAAAAATGAAAATGAATAAAAATTCAAATTGATTTATTCTATCTCTTGGTTGCATTTAACGCGTTGTTGCTGCTTGCTTGATTAAATGAGTTTTTTTTTTGCTTCCTATTTTCATTGGAAAACTGATGTGCATTTTTTTTGGTAATTACACAAAAAATATATTCAAGCAATCAGGTAATAGTGATGATGATGGTGGTAGTACACCTGGCAACACCTATATATAAATATTTGTGAATGGCCCATAAATTATCAACAAAAAGTTTTTTCTTTTCTATTTGCAGTGATGTGGCTCCAAACATGATGAATTTTTTCGTTTGAGTTTGAAATAACGAAAAAATTCCTAGCAACCACATGACTAATTCTCTGTCTGTCAGGAAAATTTAATTTTCCAAAAAAAAACTCGAATTTGTTCAGTGGAAATTGCTTTTCTGTGTGTGTGTGTGTTACACATCTCTCGCTCTCTCGCCTTTGCTCTAATCTGATCAGATTTTTTTTCCATTGAATTGAATTGATTGATTGATTGATTATGGGATTCAATTCAATTCAAGGAGGTTATGTTGTTCTCAATTTGCATAATAGTGTTCCACAATGGTTAGACAAAATACATAATGACCCCATCGAAACATCTGAGACTGGTCAGTGATTTCATCAAATTATGTTATCATTCATTCATCGTTACATGACACATATTGGACGCATCTTTTTTTGTGTAAAAATTTTTCGTTTTTCTTAAATCAATTTTGACAGGATTCTCTCTCCTGTGATGAAACCAACACTGAAATGAAATCGATCATGTAAGAACGGAGGTTTTTTTTTTAATTTAATTTCATTTTTCGCCTACGACCCAAGTATATCCCATTTCCATATACGACGTGTGATACTATTGTGTTAAATATTTTATTTTTTTTTTTTTAGATATTAACACATCAATCATATACAATATGAATGAATTGAATGTACAATATTTGTGTTGGTGTTATTTAGAGAAAAAACGAAGAAATTTGATTCGACCATAATATTCTTTCCATTCATTCATTCATTCACTGTCCCCATATATAATTCAATAAATGAATTTTTTTCTTCCATCAAAAAAAAGCAATTATGATTAAATTTTTTTAAAAAATTCAGAATATCTTTATGCCACTAAGATTACCTTAGTGTTATTTTTTTTTTTGGGCCCAAAAAATTTGCCACAAATCAAACCCATGAAGAGATAAGCAAAAAAAAAAAATCTTTTGAATTTTGCACACAAGCAGACATTGGATCATCTCATAGCCAAAAAATGACTATCATCAGGGAGAAATATTATTATTATTATTATTATCTTTATGACAAGCTTTTTTTTCTTTCCAAAATTGATATATGCGAATTGCTTTTTTTTTCTCTCTCTCTCTCTCTCTCTCTCTCTCTCTGATATCGTCATCATCGTCGTCAAACATCGTCGTCTTTGTAGATCCGTCAAACATCTAAATGGTTTAAAAAAAGATGTCTGTATTTTACTTCTTCTTTTTCATCAAAGATGATGATGTTGACAATTCTTGTTGTCGCTTTCTCTGTTTTTACTATAGTTCATAACTATTAAAATTCATTCGGTTATCTCTCTGTTTTTTTTTGATTTATCATTGACCTTTTACTTGGTCATTTTTCTGCTTCTGTCGTTCGTTTGTTAATGTTTATTATTAGTTATCTTCATATCGACGGGTCTTTTTTGTGATAACCTTGATGGCCATAAGAATCTGATAACAAAAAATGATGATGATTTTACCTGCCTGCTTCATAATTCATATTTTTTTAAAAAAAACCTTCGTTCATAGATCCGGTTAATTGCAAATTTCACAACAACAACAAAAAAGAGATTCAATCAAACAAACATTTAGGTGTGAAATGACCATTTAATTTTTTTCTTTTTACATTATTTCGCCATATAGCCATATAGTCTTTATGATGATTATTAGCTGGTCTGATGCTTTGTGTGCAAATTTTTCAATATATTTCAATTTTCAAATCAAAAAACCGATTCTTCTTCTTCAGTGTTTTGCCGTCGTTCCTTGCTTATTATTAATAAATAGTTTCCCTCTCCGCGCTTGTGCTTGAATATAATTGTTTTGGGATGTGCGCACACTGCGTTTTTATCATAGTCATTATGATTATTTATGACTTATTATCAATTCAATTCAATAAATATGACCAAACAAAGTAGGCTTGACCGTCTTCATCTTTTGCTAAATTCTCAAATGTTATTCAAAGATGTCTATGCGTGTGTTACCTGTATGTTTTTACCTGTATGTTTTTACCTGTATGTTTTTGCTGGCTGGTTGGTTGGTCTGAACCTTTTAATTTGCCTAATGGTTTCGTTTTTTTTCCTTTGCATTTCTTTTACATTCGTGTCTGACCTGTTTGAAGATGATTTAAAAAGATAAAGAAGAAGAAGCGGCCCAGCATTTTTTCAAACATTTTTTTTGCTTTGAAGCTTCCTTTTTTTTCAATATTTTTTTGGGTTGATTATAATGATGATGATAATAATAATCATAATAATCATATAGCAAAAAAATGTGGCAAAATCTTTCAATTTCAGTTGTTTAGGGCTTTTTTAAAAAAATTTGTTGTTGTTGTTGTTATTTGGGCTGTTGTTGTTGTTGAAATCGTGATTTTTTTCAACAACAACAACAACAACAGCCCAAATAACAACAACAACAAAATTGTAGTGTGCAAAGCTTTTTTGAATTGAATTTCTAATTGATTTTTGAAAGTTCGCGTTGGCCTGTGTTTAGTGGTGGTGGTGGGCTTTACACACAAACATTTTGATTGAGGATAATTAACGCTTTTTATTTCGATTTTATCTTTATATGGTGATCTATGCTTGTGATTCTCTCCCCTATATTTATTGAAAATTTCATTTTCATCATCAAAACAGATTACAATCACGAATTTACACACATTCATTATTCATTGATCGTTTGTTGTTATTTTGTAAAAAAATCGGACACTTTTCATTTTTTTTTCTAAAATAATTTTTCGATAAATCACACACACACAGAACGCGTGATCAATTTTCGAATTGATCTTTGAAATTTGATGTGATGTTTGTGAAAAATTCAGTTTTTCTGAAGTTATGTTTTCTCTCTTTAGAGTCACGCACTGTAGAAATATTACATAATCGATGGAATTTTTCAAAGAAATTTCCAAGAAGTTTTCATTTTTTTCCCATAGTTTTTTTATTTGTCCCGAAAAACAAATTCTTCAATTAAAAAAAAACAACTAATTTTTGGTTGTTAATAAAGTCATTTTTTTCGTTACTTTACCCAAAACCGGTTACTACTTTTTCTTTTACAAGATTTTTGATTGATTTGATTTCGAAATTGATTTGCATGTTTCAATCAAATGATGATCTATTAATGTGAATGTTAATCAAACGTCGAACGTATTCTAAAGGTATTCAAGGTGTGCTGGTTTGTGAATTTACCCAACGGGCATTTTTTTCGTTGAAAAACATTGAATCGATTAAAATCGACATAATTTTCTTCCTTTTCTCTCTTCGTATTCTTCAAGATATAATTAGATCGGATTGATTGAAATCCTTGTGATTTTTTAGATCATTAATGGAGATATCCATCACAATTTGATTTATAACACTGACACTGACACTGACACACACGCGAAACACTTAATTAAATCATTATTTCGTTAACTAAAATGAAATTAATTTTTTCCTTTTGTTTTTTTTCTCTTTTTTCCTAAACAACAAACAGATTTCGTATCGATAATACTGATCATATAATCGATGTAAATCGTGGTAATGCTGCATTCGAATATGATCAAATTAATATTATTTGTCCAATGTATTCAAAAGGAACAAGAGAAGATGATATTGAAACATATATCATTTATAATGTAAGTAATATTTTTTTTTTCATTTGTTCAATGTTTGCTTGTCATTTTTATTCTATCAATACTTGAGAAAAAAACTACAAAATGTGAATTGGCAGGCAATTATTATTACGATGATGATGATTCTGAATTCTTGCTTGTCCGGAAAAAATGTCCAAATGCTCGTTTTGTCAATTTGGGAAAATATTAATGTCAAAGCTAATTGGCCACATTCTTTTGTTTGTTTGTGTGTGTGTTTGATTTGGCTTATGACCATCATCATTATTATTGTTATGATGATTTTTTCCCCGTTAGTTTTTCATTTCCCCCCTCACTGATAACAACAACAACAAATTCTTTTCCGATTGCTTCTCATGTTATGCACGACTGTATATCGACCTCGATTGAATGTCGATTTCTTTCCATTATCATCAACATCATTCATTCATTGATTCTTTATGGAAAAAAAATATTCATTGACCTAATGAGTTTTTTCTCGTTGATTGAATTTTTCAATATTTTTTTTCTGATTTGTCAATCAATCGATTGATCATCATCATCATCGACATTGATCATTTGTGTACAGATCACGATTTCGTTCGATTTGAATGAATTTTATTGGGAAAACATTTGATCTTAATGATGGCGAAATAAGAGAATCGTTGTTGAAGCCATTCAGGTTCATGTGTTTGTGTTTCGAGTCTTCCAGGATTTGATGATCTCTATTCAATTAGTCCAACGAAAACAACCAACCAACCAACAAAATTTTTTCGTTACAAATTGATATCAAATTCACTCTACAAGATCCGATGACATTTATTATATTGACGACGACGACTACGGACCATTCATATTTAGCAATTTGAAACCAAGTTTTTGTCTTTGTTGAATTAGATTTGCCTGTGTTCATCATTATCGTACGTCAGAAAAATGTATAACATCATCCACAGCATCTTTTTCATTGCCAATTAGTGCACTGAACAACAACAACAAAACAGAAAAGAAGAATCTTTAGCTTCTTTTGGTTGTTTGAAATATTTATAATCCTAACATTTGAAAATCAATCGAATGGTTTTTTCTTCAGTAGGTTTGGTCATTGAACTGAAATGTGTAAAAAAATCCATAGCCAGCCAGTGTAAATAGCCAGAACCAATGTTTTTCAAATATGCAGAATTCTCTATTTCTCTTGGTCTGTATGTCATTCTTATATCAAATGACATCATTTTCTTTTGATGATAATGATGATGATGTCTTGGCATTTATACCTCATCCTTGTCGTCATCATCATTATGATCGACACACACTCATATGACACAAAATAATATGATGGCTTAAGTTTTAAAATGTCATCATCAAGATGTTCTTCAGCAGTAGTAGTGATGATGACATTAAGTAAATACATAGTCTTAATCCAGTTATATTTTGAATTCGTTTCGTTGGAATCAAAAAAAAAAATTCTTAAAAGTTCTCGATTCACATATGACGATGATGAATACATTTTTTTTTGTTTTGTTAATTGACCATGATGCTGATGTGATGTGATGATGACAATCAAATATGACGATGAATGAAAAGCAAAAAACCCAGAAAAAAAAGATAGAATTTTGCTTGTCATTACCATCTGGGATGTATGGCAGAATATCTTGATGTGTATGGATGTTGTGACATGTGAACTTTTGTCAATTTTTTGTTTGATTGAACCTTTTTTTCTCGACATAAGTTTTTTTTTTTGATTCTTCAAATGTCTGTGTGTGTGTGTGAACTATTCCATCTGCTTTGCAATAAGAATCAGTAATTCTCTAGCACCCCAATAACCAATTTTGTTTCGATTTTCGATTTGTTTCATTTAATTGACTCGCGATTTTTTTCGATGATGATGATCGATCCAATCGTTTGATGATCGACATTAATTATTATTACTGTCGTTGATGATGATGATGAAATCATTGTCGAAAGTTTTTCATTTGTTAGTTTGATGAAGCAAAAAACAAAAAACAAACAAAACTTTCTGTTTTTCGTTGTTTTTCTTTGGTTCAATAAATATTTCGGGCCAAAGTAATGATTATTACCCGAAAAATTCAGTTGGCTATTGTAAAATTTGTGCATCGTGCCCATCAATGTATGGAACACGGAAGTAGCTTCCACATGAAAAAAAATGAAAAATGTATGTCAACTCAAATGTGTAGCAAACAAACAATGTTTGTTGCTGTTCTGGATTATTTCATTGTCAATCGTGAATTTATTTTTTTTTTTCGTTTTCACTTGTTATTTGTGTATCTATTTTTGTTGTTTTGTTGTTCGATTCACTTTCTCTCTTCTTTTTATAAAGTGTTCCTGGAACAACAACAACCGAACAAAACGGTTTTTGTTGTTGGTTTGTTTGTTTCATTATTTATGAAACATGCACACTCTGTTTATTCTCTCTCTTGGTTCATTTTTCCATGGAACAATATTTTTCCTCGTTACATGTTTTTTTATTTGTCACTATTACATCATCATTGTCCTAAATGGATTGTGGAAGCAATGAACAAAATGATGATTTATTTAAAATTATCGTTATGGTTATCATTATTAATGATTTTTTCATTCCCTTTAATGATCCAAATGGTTATTACCAAAAAATTTCGATTTTGACCCAAAATCGATTTTAATTGATGGCCAAATGAACGAATGAATGCGAGAGAGAGAGATTCTTCAGGCATCTTTTTTCTCTATCGATGATGATATCGATTGTTTGTTGTTGTTGTTGTTTCTTGTTGTTGTTGTTGTTGTTGTTGTTTCTGTGGTTTATAATATGCAAATGTTTCTATTATCACCACCACAACAACAACAACAACAACCAAAAAAAACCCCAAGTTAGTTCACCGCAACACTAAAACAGAATCGATAAAAAAACAAGAATTGCCTTTTCAACTCTGTGTGCAATGGTGTTTTTTTATCGATCCATTTTGATGAAAGAATGAGAGAGAGAGAGAGAGAGAGAGAGAGGAATGTGAATGAAACAAAAGAAGAAAATTGTTGTTGTTGATGATATGTAAATATATATGATTGTTATAGTTGTTATGACTGATGATGACTATCAACGATCAACGACGACGTTCTTGGCAATAATAATAATTCAGTGAAATTGGCTTCAATTTTATCGATCTTTTCCTGAGCGATGAAGATGATGATGAAGAGATAAGGAAACAAACAACGACAACAACACTCAAGTGAATGAAGACAAAGTTATTATTTTTTTTCAAACAAAAAAAAAGTTGAAAAAGTTTTTTCAAAATTTGAATTTTTTTCGTTTTTGTTTTTGTATCTTTTTTTTCATTGCTTGTTACAATTAAATAACATTATTACAAGAATTTTCTTCAATAATGAGACATTGTTTTTTTTTTTTGGTTCATTCATAATGAAAGTTTCCGAAAATCTTTCGAGTTTCATAATAATTATTATCGAGAATATTTCTCTGGTGGCTTCCAAAAAAAATTCTTTACATGATTCTTTTCGCTCAGCTTGATTTTTCTTTTTTGTTTCTGGCAGGCAAACAACAATATGTATACAATCATCATCAACAGCAGCATTTTAATAATGAAAAATCCTCTTTGCCTGCAATGTGTTTGATTATACAATCAGTGGCCAATTCTGGTCACGTTCACTTTCAAAGCAAAGCAAAGTAAACACCAAACACAAAAATTCATTATCATTAGGTTTATTTTTCCGTTGAAAAATAAGCATCATCCATTGATAATGATTCCAAACTTTACAATTTTCATTGATTTATATGTTTGCTTGTTCAATGATGACATGCATTTCAAAAATTCCGAAAAAGAAGAAGATTTTCTGTATAAAAAAAGATTAACAGTTTCTTTTTTAATGGCAATCTTTTCATAGAATCATTTGCAATTGCAATTGCATTGTTTTTCTGTTTCCATGTTGACCATTGTCAATGATGACATTCATTGGTCATTTTTTTTTGATGGAAAGGAAATTGGATACCTTCGAGAATGTCGCCTTGTTGTTGTTGTTGTTGTAATTGAATTATTATCCATTCATAGGATTATCAAAATAATGATGATGATGATAGTGTGATATCGTATGGAATCACTGGTACACATTATCTTTTATTTCGTTAGTCAGTTAATGATGGACAAATTGAATATAAGAAGAAGAAAGAAAGAAAGAATCAAAATCTTCATCACGTTATCGTCGCTATCGTTTTAATGTCTTTTTTCCCCTTCTTCTTCTTCTTCTTCTGAATAGATTTTTACATGACATGCAAACAAACACACAAGGCAAACACACATGGTTGAATTGAAATGAGCCAAGTTTTCATTCTTCGTTTGACCATTACCGTTTCGCAAATTTTTTTTTCGGTTTGGTATAACGAATTTCTTTTCTTTCTTCTTTCTCTCTCGCTAATTTAATTGATGCTTTCCTTATTTTGTCGTCATCATCGTTGTCTAACCCCCTCCAAAAAACATTGAAAACAATTTGCTGTATATTTTCGCTATCCTATCATCATCATCATCATCATCAACATTAAATTTGCTTTTGGTCATTTCCATTCAAAATCATTAAATGTTTGAAGCAAAACGAAATGATCCTGTAATAATAATAATAATAATAATAATAATAATGTTAATTCGTTTTGTCCATGATGATGGTCAGAAAGAATTTCGTTCGTTTGTTCGGTCATCTTCAATTGTGTGTGCCTTGATGATTTCAAGTTGTTCATGTTTGAATGTTTGAATGTTGTTTCCGTAAAAGACAATTATTTCTTGTTTCTCGTTATACTTTGATCATCATCATCATCATAATGATGGTGATGTAATTTTGGCTTTATCAATGCTTTCTGTGTTGAAAAAATTATGTTTTTTGTTGTTGTTGTTGTTGTCTGAATTGCAGCAACAACAACAACAACAACAAAATCTTGTTGTTTTTTTTAATTGATCGATTGATTTATTCATTTGTTTTTTTTCTATTTCTACCCATATAGGTTTCCAAAGAAGAATATGATGGTTGCCATATTGCTAATCAAGCATTAGCTCGAACAATAGCTGTCTGTGATAAACCATATTTAAATCGTTATTATACGGTTACATTTCGTCCATTTACACCGCAACCAGGTGGATTAGAATTTCATCCCGGACAAGATTATTATTTTATTGCATTATCAGCAAAAAATGGAGATATTTCTAATCATTGTCATAAATATCATATGAAAGTTGTATTCAAGGTGTGTTGTGGTAATAATCAACAACAACAACAACAACAACAATCGACACAATCAACATCAAGTGCCGTTCATCGACCATCATCATCATCAACATCTATTGGTAAGTGTCCGGTTAAAACAAGATTTACTCTTATTCTCTCTCCCTCTCTATTTCTCTATCCATTCAATGAACAAATAATTAATTCAAACAACAACATAATGAACCAACCAACCAACCAAGATGATGAATTTATAATTTTCAGGATAGATAGATAGATAGGATCAGTAACAACAACAACAACAACAATCAAAAGAAAAACACCTTTATAAACCAGATAAACCAGGCGGTCAATTCTTTTCTTTTTAAATATTCATATTTTGCGAAGGTCATCCGATCATGATTGTGATGATGAGGCCAGTTGAACCAAAAAATAAAAAGATCATTATCAAACCTGGCGTGATATAAATTTTCATTCATTCACATTTCAAATTTCATTGTTTTGTGATTCTATGTTTAGCTTTTGAATATCAAAATGATCAGGATGATCAGGTCAAAATGAAATACAAAAAAAATATTCACAGAAGCAAGCGCACACACATCGTCAATGTGTGAAACGATGATGATGATCCATCCATCCATTGTCGCGCTTCTGTGAATAAAATTTTTGTAAAAAGAAAAGAAAATGGTGAATATAAGTCACGCATTTACCTGTTTATCATCCTTATCGTTTTTTTTTCTCAGTTTTTTCAATTTTTTTTCGGTTCAAATAAAGATAAGATCGTTTTTTGTTTGGTTTGTGATGCTCAAATGTATTTGATCACCAAACAAAAAAAATCTCAAATCTGATCTCCTTGTTGCTTTTTTCATTCTTTCTTTCTTTCTTTCTACTCGAAAGATAACAATAACAAAAAGAATTTTCTTCCCTTGACCATCATTGTCAAAAAAAGCACCAAAGTAAAACAAAAATCAATGTTGTAAATAATTTACAAGCAGGCTATATAAAATTATTCTTGAACAGCATTTCTGAAAATTGAATTCTAGTTAGGCTTAGATGCTTATAGTCGATCAATGTTTTTGCTTTTGCTTTTGTTCTTGGATGATGTCAAGTTCATTCATCTTGTTTGCTTGCTTGCGTGTTAATTGAATTCATTTAGTCAGTTAGTTAGTTAGTTAGTTAGTTAATGTTTTTTGGTAATCAAAACAATATTATTTAGTTTGGTCGAAAACTATTTTCGATTCTTCTTTTCTCGGTTCTTGTTATTTATATAAATATAATAACAGATTTGTACGACGATGGTAAACAAATGTTCGACAATCTAACATTCGCCTAGCCAGACAACAACAACAACAGAAAAAAAACTAAACGGATGCGGTCTTTACAAATATTTACAATAGATTCGATTACAACCAGCAAATAAACATTTTGAAAAGAAAAATTTTTTTTAGTTCATTCTTATCATCGACAAGTTTAAGTGTATATTTTTCTTTCTTTCGAGTGTGTTTCGTTTTATTCACCAAAAAAACCATGTGAACACTGTATATATTTTTGAATGGTTTCTTCTTCTTTTGCCCTGTGGAGAGAATGATATGCCAGATAAAAGAATTTAAGGTCCTGGTTCTGTCATGTCATCCTGGTTTTTTTTCTATCCCTGAAGAATCTTCCATATATTTTTATTTCATTTGATGTTTGTTTGTTCTGGCGAAATTTAGCTCCCGGCTTTCTCTTTTCTTTTTTCATTTATTCAGGATCACAATGTCATCATAAATTATTATTATTATAGCCAGCAACATTTCGTTTTTTGGTCTAAATCTTTTTTTTCAAATAGAATCAATCGAATGATGATGATTAGACACATTATGATTTATAACACACATACATACTTACCACCAATGTGCAATAAAAACATATACACACAGCTTCTGGTCTTTTCTTTTGCTAGCTGGCTAAGTTTGTTTAGTTTAAATCCATTGTATTTCATTTATTATTTGGTTGTTGTTGTTGATGATGTTTTTGATTATTCTTTGACATCGGCCATCATGTTATGTCAATATTTGTTTGTTTATTTGGAACAACAACAAAACTACTCATCGACTATTTTCACTCAACTTGCTTCTCTCTTTCTTTTCCTCTATTTTGATCCGTTTTGAAAAAATTATTCGATTTAAAAAATTAACCGTTTTTTTCTTTTTTCCATTAATTAGTTTCTAAACCTGAACCAGTGATCAACAATAATGGAATTAATGCTGCTTCAAATACAATCATCAATAATTCGACTATTGCTCCAGCCATTAGCAGCAGTATTAGCAGTACATCAATGCCACAACAAAGTTCAACATTTTCATTTGTTGAATTTATACCTGGACATAATAATAATCCAAATAATATTGGTATAGCTACCTATAAAGGTGTTATTAGTAATGGTGTTGGAGGTATTGGTCAACAAAATTCAACAATGTTTCCAATGATTGTTCGTCATCCAAAACCAACACGTTCATCATCTGCAACAACGGCTTCACCAATTTCAATCATTTCATCAATGTCGAATCATCATCATAACAATCATCATAATAATAATCATCATCAGAGCTCTTCACCATATAGCAATAATAATAGTAATAATAATCATGATAATAAAATTGGTCATCGATTTTATGGTGATCAACGTGGTGGTGGTGGTGGTGGCCGATATTCAAATATTCCACAACATTATCCGAGCTTGTTTTCAACTGAACGTCCATCATCACATGGTTCACAAATTAATCCAGTTACAAATCGTATACCACATGTACCATATCATCCTTATCATCCTAGGCAATTAACATCAACATTAAGGCCTGTACATGTTGGTTGGCGTCCACATCCAATACCAAATAATCATCATCAAGATCATAATCCACCAATACGATTATCCGATCAACGTAGTATTGGTTATAAAGGTAAATACCAATAAAAGCAACACTGCCAACTTAATTTCAATTCAATTAATGATAATGATATTGATTGAACGCTGATGATGGAAAACAGTCACAGATGTTCAATGGGTGAAAAAAAAATTTCCAAAATTAACACTATGGGCCATAATAATAATAATTTATCAATTTTATATGGTTAATTTATACAACCAACTTTATAATTTGTAGCCTTGCTTGTCATTTTTGATTTGATGTAGTGTGAATTTGTCCACACCTTTTCCATATACACAAACTTACATAGACTGAAATTACTTCCAAAACAAAACGAAAAAAAAACGGTGATCTCACCCTCTTTGTTGGTTGTTAGTTTTCTCTATGCATCAATTCATTTTCAAGTGGGCCTTTTTTTTCTACAACAATCCATTATTTATTGGCCCTTGTTTCAAATGATAATCTCACTATGGTCTGACAGAGAAATCGTTTGTTTGTACACAGTACACTAGGAACATTAAAATTCGTTTCATTCTGACAGCAACCAAACAACAAAACAAAAAAAAATGGAAAATAAATAGACTTTTCCATATTCACAATAACAATAACATTTGAATGTTAACCAGTAAACGAAAACAACGAAAACAAAAACCCAGACAACAAACAGAAAAACATAATTCATAATTAGGCCATGTTGTAATAATGATGACTGCAACAACCAAACTACTAACCCTTTTCTCTAACTCTTCATTCGAAAAAAAGGGTCTTTTTTTGTAGCAAACAAAAATGTTGACAGAAAAAATTATTGATTGACTTGCATAAGCCAAAAAAAAAAAAAAATGGAAAGAATCTAGCAAATAGTAAAAACTCTTTTTTTTCATATTCTGTCAAATAGGAATTCTGTGATTCAATGGAATCACTAAAACTAAAAAAAAGTTCTTGTATCGTGTCGTTTTTTTTGTTGTTGTTGTTGAACAAACCCGAAAAATGATTTATCCTGTTAATTAGCTTTTTTTTTCTTTTCTCTCGTTCAGAGTTAATAAAGAGATAGAGATTCAAGTTGAACAACACTACTATACACATGAATAAATCCTTTGTGTGTCATATCAGATTCTTTCGTTCATTCATTTATCGAACATTTTTTTTATCTTGTTTCAAAATTTCATTTCAAATGAAACCATTTTAGTAGTAATAGTCTCTCTATATTTCATTCAAATTCAAAACATTTAATGATTCTCTCATTATGATTTGAATTTGAATTTATTTCTTTTTCATTTTGAAACTATGTAATTACGCCCGTTCATCATCATCATTATCATTATCATTGTCGCCCCGTTAATAATAACCCATTTATACTTGAATCCATCATTTTTTTAATTTTCTTTTTTCTTTTTTCTTTTTCACAAACAAACAGGAATTTATCGACCAAATGATAATAATCGTGAAAAAAGTGATGGATTAAATAGCCATTCACAATCAACATTATTATTAAGGCAATCATCAACAATAACAATATTGACAATCATTGTATCGATTAGTTTTTGGACATCATCATCATTATTATGATAATGTTGTTGACAACATCCGAATTTCGAAAAACTTCAGGAGTCATCTAGCCAGCCGGCCATACGGTACCGCCAAATCTTTGTGATGATAATAATAATGGATGGATGGATGGTAATTCATTCACGAATTAATCGAGCCCACGTTTTTTTTTAAAAAAAGTGCATTCTTCTTCTGATTCTCATTCTTATGTTCAACATTAGCATTTTTTTCAGTTATTGTTGTTTTGTTGAAGAGCTCCACACACAAACAAAACACTCAAAGTGATAAAGTTTTCTGTTCTGTTTTTTTATCGTTCATTTTGTTCCAAATTCACAGTGTATAACCGCCACCACCAAATGCCAATTTAACTCTTCTTTTTTTTCAAATCAACAACCAATCTGGAATGAATTCAACTTGTTGTTTATTTTTTATTTATTTCTTTCTTTCGCCAATTAGTCAATGTAAAACTTTTTAACTATCTCTCTCTTTCTCTCATTTTCTTTCACAAGATGCTTGTTTGTAAGATTTTTCTTTCTTTCTTTCGTTGTTATTCATTTTTCAGCCTTTTCTTTTTCTCTGATTACCCTGCTTTGAAAATACCAACCAGAATTATTCTCTCTCACGCTCTCTCTTACAACATCATATATATGTCTAAGTCAGATTTTTTTTCATTTCTTTTTTTTTGAAATTACCAAATTTGCCTTTTACTTCTGTGCTCTCTCTCTCTCTTTCTATACATTATTATCCTTTTTTTCCTTCAATCTTTGAATTATACACACTGTACATATTGGCCATTCAAAAAATGAATTGTGGCCGAAACATTGAATCATTTTTGTATAAAACTTTTACATTCGAATTACGAATACCTGTACATAAATTAATTAATTACCTATTTGTATATTGTAACATTTTATATTAATTGATTTAATTAAAAATTTCTTCTTTTATTATTCTTAAATTCATTTGTTATTGTTTCAATTAATCAATGGCCAAACCCGGTGGTGCCACCTGCATTTCATTTTTTTAACTATTTTAGTTTCATTTTTCATCGATAGATGGCGCCATGTATATTTATGATTTTTTTTTGACATTATTCGAATCATCGTTTTTCAAAATTTTTTCTGAATCGGAAATGATGGCGCCATTTATTGACAATAAAAAGAACCAAAAAACAAAGATGGAATGAAATAAATAAACAAGAGCGAGAGAGAGAGAGAGAGACTAAAAATTGATCTTTATTAATATAATAATAATAATAATAATAATCATGATAAAATCACTTTGTTCAAGAAGCTTAATTATTTTAACAATTTGATTGAACAATATAATCGTTTTTCTTTTTTGATGATTATATTGTTACTTAAGAATGAATCAAGTGATATATATGCCGAATCAGATTTGGATACAAGAGATTTAACGAGAAACTATTATCAGTTATAAGTAGTTAATTGAAGTTAAAAAGTTCTTGAGGAGTGAGACTTAGAAAGGATGAACGAAAGACTTGATTGGTTAGATATACACAGTGTTGTATATAAATGATGACGAATACTAACATCATGATTGAAATTCTATACAGATTCAGTTTTCTTGTTGTTTTGTGCATTTGTTGTATGAGCTTAATGTGCGCACAAAAAAAATTGTTGGCGTTTATTCGATGAACAAAACTTGTTTTTCAATAAAAATTCGCAAGAATCTTGAAGAATGATGAATTAATGAATGATGATGATTGGGGTAAATAACAATAATGAAATAAACGTTAGTAGTATATAAGCTGGGTTCTATGTTTGTTCTTGCAATTTTCAAATCATTATTATAATGATGAAATATCGGAAAACATTGGCTGTAAATAAATGAAAATGAGAAAAGAATATAATGAACACATAAAAATTGATAACAATACCTTTGTCATTCTAGTTAGGCTTTGTTTGTGGATAATGATTGTTTGTTTGTTTTTTTGGCAATCATAGGATGACCGCGAACACAAAAATCGATGAAAATCGCGATTAAATTAAAATAGAAAATAGTTTTACAAATCTTGCATATCTTCACGAAATAGGTATGTAGTCCAATAGACCAAATTGAATAGAGCAAACATTAATGGAAAAAATATTCGTGAAATAACATCGATACGTTTGGAACGGGTGGGAAATTTTGATAACCAACGTTTGCACCAATTTCGTTTGGGCATCACATGTACTTCACAGGCACGCAACTTTTCACCAGTATAATCTCCATGTTGACGTACAAGCGGTCGCTATTTAGTAAGAAAATAAAATAATTAAATTAAAATGACAGAATAGATGATAGAAATAATAAAAGTTGATGTGTGAAACAAAAGAAATCTTTTCATCACTTGTTTATAATATTATCAAGTCTATTGTTGAAAAAACAGGAACTGATTCAATGAATGAATTCATAAAATTCCATAAAATCACAATGACAAAGATGACTATAGTTATTGTAACAAGAATCTTTGATGATGATGATCATCATCATAATAATAACTCTTTTATCTAAAATATAGATCTGACAGTTTTCTTTTTGTTCCTGAAAGGAAAATATAGTCCGACATAAATAAGGAAATGAGCAAGTTAATTAAGATAGTGTACGGATGTTTGGTAACATAAACACAAATAGAATTTTCTTTTTTAACAATAGTCGAAACTAAAATAACATTATCATCATCATCATGTGTGAATAGAATTAATTATACAAAAAAAAATATTCACATAGTCATTGTCATAGACTTGTTTGTTGTTCCTACTCATATTTCAAAATCAGGATTGATTGAAAAACTTACCATTGCAAATGCAGTATTACGATCATCAACATGTTCATTTTCTAATGATGAACCATGTTCAATATCCCATTTACGTTGAGCAGCTAATGCAGCTTGTTGTTGTTTAAGTGCAGCACGATGTGCATCACTTCTTGATGCATAATTCACTAATGCAAATTCCAATAACGCACCGAATACAAATGTCAAACATACACCTGTCCATACATCAATAGCTTTTGTATAGCTGACCGGTGGTAACGATGAATTGATACCCGAAATAGATGTAGCCATTGTTAATAATGTCGTTACACCTAATGATACACGTGCTGGTATAGCATTTGGATCCAACCAAAATGATACCCATGAAACAATGACCAACATACAGCATGGTATATAAATTTGAATTAAATAATAGCTGAATTCACGTTTGAATAATAGGTCAACTTTGAGGCAACTATAGGAACCTATATTTTTAAACATATTGATCAATGGTCGGAAAAAAAGAAATTAAAAAAAAATAGGATTTATTGATAAAAACTTAAATTCCAATTCCAAATCATAAGATATATTATTAAAAACAAAAACAAAACAAAAAAGAAACCCGGAAAAGACTGATTTTGATTGATCGGATCGATCGGAATTTCATGTAGAAAATGACACGCGCGTTTTGTTATTCTTGTATCATCGACTCTATTTTAATGTACTTTATTTCGATATGACAAAATCTGATTTGCTGACCGATCGATTTTTTTTCATCTACTCCGATAAACGATAAAAGAATTGATTCACCATTCCATTGTAAGTTAGTTAGACAAAAAAAAGAGCCAATAGTTTATTTTGTTCAAAGACAATCACACTTGCATTCAGTAAGGAATGTTGTAGGATGTCACCGTGATTTGTTTTTCAACAAATAATTCTTTAATTTAATTAGATATCTATTTCTAATTCTTCTTTGTTGTATGATCAATACAATAATGAATGTTATACTGGGTAAAAATAATGATAAAAAAATAAATATCGGTTGAACACAATTGAATTCAATTTTAACATTCACATCTTTTTTATTATCATCATCGATCATCATTTTCTAAGGGTTTTTTTGGACAAAGAACAAAGTTTAAATTTGAAATATATTTTTTTTGTTTTACTTTAAAAGTTATCCAACCAAAAAAAATCTGATGATTATTATGTTAGGCTGAAAAAAAACAATACTGATTGAATGTGATGTGAATTCTTTCAAGTTGTTCTGTGTGTGTGTGTTCAATTTAGCACATAATCTAATTCTATCAAACAGAAAAAAAATAAAACTTCAACAAACCAAACCAAATCAAACAGCATTTTAGCTAAACAGGCTAGACAGAATGAACATAAAAAAATTCGCACATTGTAAATTAAATTACATCAGTTTCGAATTTGTACAACAACAACAACGAAAAAACTACCCTAACCGAAAAATTTGTTCCAAAAATAGGACAGGAAAGGAAAGCAGCATTTGGTTGAAAGCAATGTCATAATTTGATGTCTATCAAAACGAACAATGACAACCAACCTTCAACACCATTAACAATAATGAAGAAATTTCATTTTTTTCAATAACAAAAAAAAAGTAAATACAGAAATTTTTAATTTTAAACGAATCCTATGGTTTAAAAAAATCAAATTTACAACAAACAAATTTTTTTTCAAATGATTATCATCATTAATTGAGTCAATGAATGTTCATCATAGTATAAAGAATTTGTAAACAAAAAAAAACAGATTCTCAACATGCTAATGACTCTAATAACCACCACCACCACCATAAATAATTATTTAGAATCTTGAGTGTGTTTCTCTCTTTCTCTCCGTTCGTTCATTCATTCAAATTGAATAGCCTATGTTTCACACAACGGGAAACTGATTGGCTGACAGGACATAAAGAGAAGAGAGAATCGTACACCACTGACTAAAAGCAAACACAATTTTGCCTTGATGTGTATGTATATCTTGACAATGTCAAATTGTATTCGATCGAAAAAAAAAGTCTTTTTTCGTTATAAACTTTTATTTTCTTCAGTTATCATTCGGGTGAAACAAAAACAAAAAATTCTGAAGCAAAAAAAATTCGGCATCACATCAATGATATGGCAGCAGCTGCCATATTTGAGTTTTTTTTCTATTCGTTTGGTTGGTTGGTTGGCCCATTCAAAGTGTCTGCGTATAAATTGTGTATAGAAAGAATATATAAATTCTCACTATATGGCCTGTAGCCGTTATTGTTGTTAGAATTGTGTGTTATTGTCGAATTGATGATTGTGTGGTTGATTTTTCTTTTTCTTTTTTCTCGAACGAGAAAAAAAACAATTTCAAAATTCAGCAGATGCAAGAATTCAAGATTCAAAAACTTTTTTCTTCATCTCTCCCCTTTCGCTCAATCATCCGCTTTTGCATTTTTTTAAAAAAAAGTATGAGAAAAAACATTTTAAAACATTCCACATAATTGTAAATTTAAATAAGACACATCTGATGATTGTTGATGTTTGATTGTTTATCGTTCGTATTATACCAATCACCCCATCGCGCAATTAAAGAATATATATTTTTTTTTTAATGATAAATAACATGATTAACTTACCAGTATTTGTTTTACTGGTACAATAATCGGTTAAATATTTTTCCAATGTAAATCTTGGTAGATGAAGATTTGTGGTTATCTGGACGGGATCTTCATGTTTCCAAACGAACATTAAATCTTCGGTTGTATAGCCATCTATTTTTCGTTTGTGTCATATAGTGTTTCGGAAAAAAATAATTTGGAAAAAACAAAATGTTTTTTAAAATTTTCGAAACAAACAGAAAAACTTACAGCTAGCCATTTGTATGGAGCAAATTTGTTTATCCAATGGATAATATTTTAAATTCATTGGACAAGCTAATACTAATGAAATTCGAATTGAATAAAGGACACCGCCTTGTGGATAGATACGTAACAATACGTTTGGCATAATTATATCATGAAAATGGCCTTCTTTTTCATTTTTGAAAAATAAATCTGGCCTCCATACTTTGTTCGGATCAGTCAATACCAGATAACGTATTTGTCCGCTCATATTATCAAATTTTAATCGACTATCGACCCATTGTTCTCTGAATGTTACCTGAACTGAATATTCCTATTGGAATATTCGTTTGTGTTGGTTGAAGAAAAAAAAATTGAATAAAGAAAAATTAGACAAGAATAAATAAATTCAGATTGAGAATGCTGTTTGTTTGTTTTTTGTCTGAGTTTTGATATTAATCAATCAATCACTAAATATTTCGGAGGGAAAAAAAGGAAACATTAAGCTTTTTGTGTTTAGACATCGATTGTTTTAATCTAACTTATTTGATTATTGAAAACATTACTGCTGTTTACACTAATCAAACCAGCGAGCTGTCAATTTGCCGAGATTTTGGAATCAAAATGGATTATTATTCACATGATTTATATATCAACTTACCATATCAAGATCACTAATTTTGCTAATACTTCTAATTAAAATATTCACAGAGATCATACTAGGTCCATCTTTATTATCAAAAAAAATGATCAAATTTCATTTTGAAAAATATTAAAACAAAAACCAAAATTTTTGTCATTTTTTTTGTTTGTTGTTGTTGAGTCGAATCGATTCGAATGTTTTCGGAAAAAAAGTCGTTCATCATTATCGTCCCATCGATTAATCGATTTCGAATGTGCCAAGAATATTATGTAAATCGTCCATCGAATCGAATTTTATGTTGACATGTCCGCATAATAAAAAGAGTGATTCAATCATCAATCAAAATGAATGAATAAAATTAAATTCAAGGAAATGGTGAAAGAAGATTAACAGATATCATCAGTATCATCATCATTTTTTTTGGATTCGAATGTAAGTTAATTTTGTTTTTGCTTTTCTTTGATAAAAATAATTTGATTAAAAGAAATAAAACACCATTGAAGAACATAATAATCTATACGGCTGGCTACTATCAAATTGATTGATTGGCATCGAGCACATGAAGATAAAGATGATTAATACCAGTATCATTGACTGAAAACTATTATTCAATAACCTTATAATAAGAATTTTGGATTGATATAATCGTATATATAATATCCAGTAACCGAATACATTCACAACGAATTGGATTATTTGGATTCAACAAACATGGACAGACAAGCAAATGAAAAAATGAAAATGAAATTATTCGATCATCATCAATTTATATAAATAGGCAATGACAAGACATAAGACAATTGATGACAATGAAAATTAAAGAAGAAGAAGATAGATCCACATTTGAATTTTTAGTGATCATTTTCCGAAAACAAAAAAAACGAAGAAGATTATTATTATTATTTCATTTGATCAAGAACAGCCATTTGAATTATTATTATTATTGTTATCAAGAGAAAAAAAGAAACGGGACTATCAATGTTTGATCAATGTTTGGACAAGATTTAAATTTATTAAAGAAAATTAAATGAAAATGAAAAGAAACAGGACGGCAGACAGAGACGCTGGTTTTTCTGATCATCATTATCAATCGAATCGTTTGATTTACAAAAAGCTTATTGGAAAAATTAATATCAATTCAGATATAGATTGAGACAAAGACAAAGACAAAAAGACAGACAATACACAAGACGTTTATAGCAAGAAAGAAAGATTTTTTTTTCTGGGGAATGTTGTTTTAATCTTATAAATAATCAAACTTACCATGACAACATCATCGATACGAGAAATGCTTCGAATTAGTAGATTCACATTGATCATAGCTGGACCATCTGTAACAATTTCATGTTGTTTGGTCGAGCATGTTTTTTGTTTGTAAAGACAATATGGGAAACAACAACAACAACATTCATTTTAATTTGGCGAGAAATGAAAATGAAAAAAAGAAAATTGGAAAAGAAAAAATGCATCAGGCAATCGAATGTATCCATTCAATGTTATAAAAAAACAACAACAACATTAAAAATTTCAAGTTTCAAGATTAATAATCAAGATGCAATATCAGAATAGTCATTCGCCAATATTATGATCATCATCAAACAAGGAATGACATGCAACATGCAATATTTATTTTTTTTTTGCAAAAAAATTCTTCCTAATCAATTCATCGTTTTTTTTTTGCTTTTTTTACTTAATGAAAATTTTCTTTCATTCAGTCGATCTCTTAATCGACAAATCCACATTTTTCTTTCTTTCTTTCTCTATACTAAACGTGATCAGCATTTTGATTTTTTTTTCTATCATCTTATTTCTTAAGATGGCTATAGAAAAAAAAATCATTCATCATTCATCTTCCTTTCACATATACATCATGACCGAATCAAAGAAAAAAAAATCTATAATTTCTATAAATTCTTTTCCTAATGCATGTAAGGAGTTTGTGCACCAAATTTTGATGCATTTTTTTGTTGTTGTTGTTGCCTAAGTTCTATATTCAATAATGATAATTTCTCTAAAACGATTTGCCACCATCACCGAGTGAGTGAGTGAATGTGTTGGCCCGTTTGAACATCTACAATACAATACATACATCATATCTTTCTCTAATATCAATCGATGCGATTCGCTTCAATCAATAATGATGATGCTTCATTGCGTGCGTCGATTGATAACCAACAGATTATATTATATAACTGGCAAATAACAACAACAACAAAAAATAGAAATTGTCATTAATGATCTGAGTATGCTCATTGAATTGATCATATATTTTTTCTAAAAAATGTCGGCTACATATCGGTCACATTTATAGATGAAAAGAATATAATAAAAGAAGATTTTTAGATGCCATAATGATGACAATAATTATCTTTTCTTAAGATATAATTGTTCATAATCTAACCTAACCTAACCCAAACTAATTTGTCTTTAATGAATTTTCTAGAATTATCAACAAAAAAATGAAGAAGAAGAAATTATACACCCACACACACAAAGCAATGAAAAAAAGATTTTTGATAATGTGAATATTTCTATAAAAAAAAAATCATCTAATAAAGGTAAAAAAAGTGAAAATGAATTTCAAATAAAATTACACACACACGCACACACAATGATATTTGAAAAAAAAAGTTATTTTTGATTATCACATACCACCACCACGAGCACCAACCGATGCATTACCCATTGGACGAATTCTTGAATCATAACCATCACCAATAATTTTGTCAAGAATACGTTTTTCCATGGCACGAATATTGGCGCTTGGACTAATTGAGAAAAGAATTGATTTCAATACGAAAAATGATAATGCGAGAAAACTTACTGTACTGGACAAATGAATAAATATGAGAACATAATGAATAAAAAAACAAGTTTTATGTAAATATTTGAAAAAATTTGATGAAATAATTGTTGGATTGGCAATAATTTATTGATAACTGATGATGATGAATAAGATAATAATAACGACGATAATGGTTGACGAAATAATGATAATGATGATGATGATGAAAGTAGTGGTGGTGGTGGTGTTGATGATGGTGATAATGTCGTCGATCTAGATTGTGATGATGTAAAAATCACTTGATAAACATCAATAACATCATTATTTGTTTGTCGGATTGATTCCGTATTGTCGACATTGGTTTCCGATCGATAATCTTGATTAATCTTGGTTTTTAATCTTTTCATCATTTTATCATTATTGTTGTTATCATCGTTTATCGAATCATCATCAATAATCGATTTCCATTTTATCATATGATGACTGTACGTATTAGTTGCTGATTTCAGATTCATTTTTTTTTTGTTTATAAATATTGTTGTATGAACCTTCTAGGAATATTTTTTTTTTGATCGAATTTTTTTTCTCCAAATTAGATATCAAAGGAATGATAATTGAAAAATCATAAATTTCTTGGTGGATGCATCATTGTATAATTGAACGAAAACAAAAAATAATATCGGGATTCGATTCACAGCCAGATAATATATAACCAAGATGATTATTGGCCTGCATCATTTGAGGAAAAATTGATCTTATTATGTCTTGTTATTGGGCAATATTGGTTTTAGGGCGAATAGCGAATAGCGAGAAAAACCGAACCGAGAGAAGAAAAAAGAAACAGAAAATTTCTTTATCGAAAAAAAATGAAACCAAAAACAATCGATGCTGATGATGATGATGATGAAATTGGACACTATTTTCTGGGTTTTTTTTTGCTATTGCTTCCGAAGCAATATCTTTTTTATTTGTGGTGCGTTTGAGCTAATCAAGATGAGAAGAAAAGAAAAGATCGAAATCCATTTATATATAGCAGCAGATTGGTTTTTGGGATGAAACAAAAAAAAAAGAGTGCACAAAATTTTTTTTAATAAGAATATTGATGATGAAAAAATGTAAGCTTCACTGCCATAATTGCAAATAATGTTGTTTGATCCAGTGATGTTTGTAGAAGAAAAATCAATAATCAGCATCGATGTTCATATCAAAAAAAAAAATTGTCGAATTTTTTGTTGATTTGTTTAATGTTGTGTCTGTGTGTGTGTGTGACGAAGAAATTATCACAAGAATCAATAACCAACAAAGATTTTTTGGTCTTTTAAAAAACACAATCAAATTCTGGAAAATTATTGAGCTTTTGTCGAAACAATGAAACTGAAACAAAAATTCTTCAAGATTGTGCTGCAACTGAATAAAATGAATTGGGCGTTTTGATTATCTGTGATCATTAAGTGACCAAAAAAAGATCATTGCTTTATGCAGAAAAATAAATGAAAAAAAATTGAAAAATGAAAATTTTTTTAGATTTGAATCAGGAAATAGGCTGTCTTTATTTTTCTGCCTGCAACTGAGACCTGTCATTATCATAAAAAAACAACGACCATGCTAGCCGAATCGGATATTGGAAAAAAATGATCAAACTTTACCGTTTGAAACTTGGATATTTGAATGAAAAAAAAATCTACAAATCAATTTGACAGATGAAATATCCCTTTTTATTACTCTTCTCTCTATTGAAAAAAACACCCTGATAATCATAATAATCATCATCCAGGTTACTAGGCAGCAATGATGATGATGACCATCATTGATCAATCAATAACAACTAAAAAAAAAGAAATTCGCGGGTAAATTCTATCAAAATTCTGTGTTTTTCAATGCGAAAAAATTATTTTGACTTACCCACCACCAATCACCAAGTTGAAAATGATAAAATTTTGAACGAAAAACACTTCACATCACATATCACTGATGATTCTTTGATTATTTTTTTTTTGGATGATGAGTTTTTATGGAAAACAAGAACAACAACAACAACAACAACAATGAATTTGCTTGCAAAACGCTATAAAATTCAATTTATTAGCGTTTTTTTATTTGTCAAAAACAATTTGCACATTTAAAATGTTTTCCTTATTCATCTTTAGATGATGTATCTTTTGGGGGTTATATATAGCGTTTTTTCGTTGGTTATAAAAATTTAACAATCAAAAAAAAAACGATAAACATCATTCGACATTTATCTCAGGGTGACAAAACAACGAAAAACTGAAAATAAAACTAGTTTTTTTGTTTGTTTGTTTCATTTTCAAACAAATCCATTTTAATGGATGAATTTTTTTTTTTTTTTTTGGTTTGCATCCAAACCATCATCATCATCATCCCCAATGAAATTGCTGTACCATTAGTTC